GAATACAATAGCTGATTTTAATTGTGAAGCAGGTCTCGATTATCGTGCGATAACAAACTAACTGTGAATTTTGTATGCGATTCGGTAGCCCAAAATTTTCGAGAAGTTTTCGAAATGTCCAAATCAACACTAAAGTGTCCCATATCAAAATCAGTTCCAAACTTAGTATCATCATATAAGAGAATGTGAAAAAGTGTCTTGTATAGGAGAAATTTAATGGACAAATCCATGTCTTTCGTTCGGGAATGCATGACAAATCCATTAAATCAGCGGTTCTCATAGGGATTGAAATTATACATTTTGGGTAGTTTATTACTGTCGCTCTCATAGCTTTCATCCCCAAAAGTGTTCTTTTTTGTTGCTTTCTCATTAATTTCACTCAATAATTAAAGTCGGATTCTCATTCCATCACTCTATAATTGACGAACGTTGTTGAGCAATAAAATTCGATTCCTGTATTGTTGACTTTAGCCGTCAACACTAGTCAAAATATCCAGTGAATAGTATATGCTACAGAATGAGAAACTGATTCGAACTGTGAAGTGAAATGAGACGAATTGAATGAGGAAAACTCATCAAGCGAATATCTTGTGTTTGTCGCCAATTAGATTGACGATTGATGTGAAGGACGACGACCAGACGAAGAAATACTATTTACTTGAAAAACCCTGATAACAACAGAGGACCACTTGTGGCTCTCGAACTCAGCCTCAAGGCAAGACACCAATGACATTCTCACTTACATAGACTTCTTACATGCAAATTCCTAAGGCGACAACTGCATCACCGTGTGCAAAGAAGATCACTATGTGCAAATTAGATCACTATACAACAGAATATTCGCATGTAATAGCTATGTGAGTGAATGCAACACATCTGAAAAGAATCAGAGTCCATCTGAGTCAGTTTGGAGTGAGCGTGTCATAGACAACAGCTTTTCATACAGTCATAATCGATTGCAGTATTAAGCAACTCAGCGATCTCGGACACTAATTTCTTTCATCCCTTGAGAGATTTTCGGACCGGTTTTCCGTTTTGTACTGACGTTATACATAGAAATAGTAAGTTCTTGTATCGGCAGGGAGGTAGGGTAACGGCGGCATGCTAGATCATGAAAAGGGGTAATGGAGCACCCAAACATGAGAACCACTTCGCTAAATGAATGTCCGAAGTTGTTACCGACTAGTATTTTCCTTCGTTTGGACTTCCAAATTGTGGTCATAAGTAAATCATGCAGTGGACATATCCTTGATGACATTCAGGCTTTATTTCAGGATCATCTGTTTCACTACGTTTCATTGAAGTGGTTAGCTGGTTGTTCAGTCATAATCTTATGCGCCGGACTTTGGATATTTTGTTCGGGCAGAGCGGCAATATCACCCATCACATACACTATCTACATTCTCATTTTTTTCTCCCTCTTCAGTTGTATGTTGCTTCTGTTTGAAGTGTACTATAATTGTGACACGATAATTTGATTTTATATGCCCATCAATACCCCGTTTCTTGTCAAATAACTTTCGAATTTTTGTTGCTTCAACATTGTTCTTTTTCTTTAATAACTCAACTAAAAGGTGATTTCGCTATGAATTTGGTAAACCTAATAAATGTGTTTTGGGTATTAAATAAACAGTTTTATTGTTTGTGATTGTCGCGGTGTTAGCTTTTGTTGCTGGTGCGAAGACGACAATTAATGATACACATTATCCACACTAATAAATAAGG